CTCATCACGGAGCTGCGTCTGAGCGATGGGTACGTGAACGCAACTAGGCTGTGCCAGAGCGCAACATTGGAGGGGGGCATAGAGAAGAAGTTTGCGGATTTTAATCGCCTTCAAGGAACGTCCAACTACATCGAAGCATTGTCAAGCAGGGTTGGGATTCATTCGAGTCTGCTGGTTCATAAGGGTTCGGGCGGGGAAGCAACGTTCGTACACCCAGAGCTAGCGGTGTATCTGGCAAGTTGGATTAGCTCTAAGTTCGCTTCCGATGTAACCGGATGGCTCGCACGGGCTAGGAAGGAAATTCAGGGATTAGACGCCGAGGTGCATGTGGCGCTTTTCAATCTGGAGGCCGACAAGCGTCCGAAGAGTCAGGAAGCGGTCGTTTGCGACCAACTTGCGAGAGAGCTATGTGCGGAGACCAAAGTGGAGTGCGAGCATGGCTTTGTGGACATCGTTAGCACTTCCGAGATTATTGAGGTCAAGCATTTTCGACAGTACAAGCATGCCGTGGGGCAAGTATTAGCATACGGCTTGAGTTTTGAGAACAAACGCAAACGTATCCATCTCTTCTCCACCGTCAAAGACGTGGAGGACCCCAACGAGATCATTGACAGCATCAACAAGGCACGCCGACTGTGCCAGAGCCTGAGCATTGAGATGTCTTTTGCTGGACGTTTGACGGGGGTCACCAGCACCGGAGATTGCTCCCACCGAAGTTAAAGCAGACCGACGCTTGCACAAAGCAATAATGTCAGACCGGCAAAAAAGTATTGCAAATGTTATTCGATAAATGCCTTTTAACTATTCAGAGCAGTGGGGTGATGAAAGCCCCAGTGAATAGCTCGAAGTGTAAGCTCAGGATATATAGGGCTTTAGGACAACTCGGTGTATGGACCCAATTTCGACGTCCGACGCTGATCATAATTCCCCTGTCGGGAATGCTTGGCATTCAGTATCATTGATCGTTGCTTTTTGCATGTGTGCACCTTTGCCCCTTGCATTGCGGACCGGCGTCTGTTCCGGCCCGAGGAACGACGGATCCTCATGCGCTTGGACTGAAACTCCATAGACCGTTGGGTGCAAAGCGTATGATGTTCGCTCATCTTCTGCCTGTGTACGAACATGAGTGCACACATAAGGAAGCTCAGGGATCGGTGTCGGCAAGATCCGGTCAATAGCAATGGCGCCCCCGGGGAGGCCTATCGTGGCAATTGCTGCAGATGGAAGCTCTAGACAGACGTATGCGACCGCACGCAAGGCTGCTGAGGTAACCGGTGTACCTCATTCAACGATAGCTAGAGGTGCCAAGAGCTTGGCAAAACATGGGGCATTCTTCTTCAAGTTCGACGGCGACTCTCGCGAACCCGTCTTCGAACGAGCTCCGACAATCACGGCCGAAGATCGAGCACGAGCACAGGCCCTCTTTCACAGCCTGTCCGGAAAAGATGGGAAACTCATCACGGAGCTCCGACTAAGCGACGGTTTTGTAAATGCGACGAAGATGTGTCAGAGCGCGACGTTGGCCGAGGGTGTGGAGAAGAAGTTCACAGACTTCAAACGGCTTCAGGGCACCACCACCTACATCGAAGCATTGTCTCGCAAGGCGGGCTATCTCTCGCACCAGCTGGTTCACGTAGGTTCTGGTGGGCAAGCGACGTTCGTACACCCGAAGCTCGCAATCTACCTCGCCCAGTGGTGCTCGGCCGAGTTTGCCGTGGAGGTCTCGGAGCTGGTCTTCCGCTATCTGACAGGAGGCCTGACCACCGGGGAATCCGTGGCCGCTGCCCAAGAGGTGCAACAGCAGACCACTCCAACACCCAATGTCCCGAACGCCACGAACTGGCACACCCTGAGACAGGACGGAATCAAGATGTACCGAGGCAAGACCGACGCGATACAGGACTACATAGCTGTTCGCAGCGCAGCATACCCCGGCGAAGACCTGAGCACGTACTACGCAAAGGTCAACAATCTCATCAACCAAGCCCTGCTCGACTTCCAGACGAGCACGAGGGAGTACAAGGATCTGCGGGGCATCCCACAGAATATGACTATCCCCGACATGTTCGACGGGCACGGTCAGGTCCAGCGGATGAATGTCGAGTACTTGTTCTTCAAATACTTCACCGACCGAGAGGACCAGTGGGCGTGCCTGAACCCGTGGAAGGCCTACAACGACCTCAAGGAGCTGAGAGACAAGTTCATCCGTTTCCGGAGCGACACCGGGCTGAGTGATCTATCGACGAAGCACATGCTGGATGTGCCCGAAGCAAAGAAGAGGAAGCGCGAGAGGACGTCGATCGGAGCACTGGAGGCTTCGCCTGCCTTGAAGGCGTTGCTGCCCGGCCCTACAACGCAGATTGTGAATAACAACACTATCAACAAATACTTCGTCAGGGTTCAGAGCGGTGGGGTGATGAACGCACCAGTGAGCGGCAAATAGTGCTGCCGTAGGCCGCGAGCGAGTAACATGAAAGATTCGATCGAGGTGCGAGTAATCGGAAGGAGCGCATCAACGGCGATAAGCAAGCCGAATGCAGCATATTGCTACGATTGCCATGATGAACATAAGGTCTTGCTTCTATGTGACATCGTAGACTACGAGAGGCGGAAAGCAGGGAGAACGAACTGCGATTGACGGTGGAGGGTCATGAACGTACCTTAGTCTCTCAAAGCCTGCGCATGACCGAACTGGAAGCGACCGAGCTGCGATTGCGGAAAGAGATGACCGTGAGCGTCGTTCGCATACGTGCTCCTCAAATTGTTGCCTCAGGGTGAGGTTCTCGAGCCCGACCCTTCCGGCCAGCACGTAATTTGCCCTTTGACGGCACGCTTGGACGGCACCCTGTAAATCCTTCTCGAAAAGGATCTTGTCCAGGATGGTCTCCTGAAGCTCTCTCGCTGCGTTATTCAGTCCCGGATGGGGATCCTCATTCGCAAGGGGAAGCTGAAAAATGGAGGGGTACTATCACAGCATATAATCGACAAAGTTCTCGTACAAACGCTGATTCCGTACATCGCCATGTATGATGATTTACCACGCGTGCAAGACCCAATAATGGCACCGGAACTTCGCCATCGTCCCAGTATGACCACGATCTTTTCTCACGAAAGTGGGAAGAATACATCAGAGATTACTCTCGTGCCATGCGGCGCGCCAAAGAGGGCGCTGCAAGAGCACATCAAATGTTACGGACTCCGAATTCTACGAGGAAACGCTCCCAGTGTTGTTACTATCTGCCGCTGATCCGATAGCTTCCGACGTTGCGACCACACCGCACGGATCCATGTCTTTTTGGCATGAACTACCGCTCTTCGTGGCATTGCAGCACCCGCGGCTCCCGGTTGGAAAAGTCCAAGTCCAAGTCCAAGTCCAAGTCTCCAACCGGGCGCTATTTGGCAGGCATTGCAGTACCGGCGGCTTCCGGTTGGAAAAGTCCAAGTCCAAGTCCAAGTCCAAGTCCAAGTCTCCCACCGGGGCGCGATTTAGCAGGCATTGCAGCACCCGCGGCTCCCGGTTGGAAAAGTCCCAGTCCAAGTCCAAGTCCAAGTCCAAGTCTCCCATCGGGCGCTATTTAGCAGGCATTGCAGTACCGGCGGCTCCCGGTTGGAAAAGTCCAAGTCCAAGTCCAAGTCCAAGTCCAAGTCCAAGTCCAAGTCCAAGTCCAAGTCCAAGTCCAAGTCCAAGTCCAAGTCTCCCACCGGGCGCTATTTCGCAGGCATTGCAGCACCGGCGGCTCCCGGTTTGAAAAGTCCAACTCCAAGTCCAACTCCAAGTCCACGTCTCCCACCGGGCGCTATTTAGCAGGCATTGCAGCAAGCAGCAAGTCCAAATCGAAGACAAAGAAGAGGAGGCGTTTAATAGATTGAATGCTAGGCAATCGATATCTCCTGCAAAACCAAGTCGACGGCATTTACAGAGCGATGAAGCTCGGCAGAGCCCCGCAGAGCATGGGTTATGTCAATGTGTGCAATGCGATTCTATCGAGCTTGGAGCGCAGGGCACTCTGAAAAAAATATCTACTGCCGATGAATGGTCGTTCAGCTTCACGCCCACTATGCTCCGCAACAGCCCATTACTCTTGGGATGTTCCGGAGCAGGCGATCCGAGATATAAAATTATAGTTGGCTACTCGATCAGGACGCAATCGTCCATCGTTCGTACTTTCATACGACCACGTAAGCGTCTACCAGTCGAAAACTTTCGTTCTCGAGCAAGATCGAGCTGAGCATCTCACAGTGACCCATCTCTGGTACCGGGGTTCGCATGCACCACCCCATGAATCCCACGTACTCGGTATCGACCACAGATGCAGCATATGGGCTGGTCGCAACCCTCACCACACCGTCGGTCTTGCCTCGCAATAAAAACGGGGGCAAGCAATTGTTCGTGATACATCTGTCCAGCGCATACCAATCAACCCGACTCAACTCTGTCCCTTCTGGTAACCGGTCCTTAGCCAGGATCAATCGCACATGTTCTGAAGTGATCTCTATCGTCCCTCTGCCAATATTGGCTTGGATTCGCTGTGCAGCCTCGGCGATGTTCTTCACCATATCGACTTTCAAGTAGTAGCGGAACCAGTAGTTGCCACCGCTGCCCGCGAGTATGTGCCCTCCGGTCAAGCATCGGTCCCAATGTATCACCTCGAGTATGTACGTCCTCACATCGGACGGATCGTTCACCCGTCCGTAACGGTAACCACCGCACCACGAAGCAGATGGTGGAGGAGCGAATTATATTCCTACGGCCAACCCGTCCTCGTCGTGATCTCGTGCGAAAGCGACCCACCCACCCCCTGCGGTCAGATCGCGTGGTTCGTATTCAAACCCATCGGTGTGCTCCGTCCAGGACCATGAGCCGTCCGGATTGCCCTCTGCCGTGTGCGGCGCGACTTCAGCATCAAAACCGCTCCAGGGTAGATCCATGAAATCTACATACTGTGGACCAAAATTGTACCATTGATAGGTGATCTCATACGCAAAGCCGACGTCGCGAATGCTGGTCTGCGTCAGCAAGGAGGAGGTCTGTCCTTGGTCGTGCGACTCTTGCTGAGCCCAGCTCAGCACCCGAACACCGTTCTCGATGTCTTCGTGAGCGAGTTGCGGCGCGAAAGAAGGGTTCTGACCGTCGTAGCCCTGCCCGCCTGCCTGATGTACGATGTCGGCCACACCACCGTTGCTCTCCTCGAGACCAGCGAAACTGGCGATCGACTGTAAGACCCTGTCGGTATAACGCGCCTCGGGTCACATCCACTGGCGTGCCACCATGTTGGGTCCATCCCCGCAATAGATGCCGTATATCGCACCATAGTGGCTTTCAGCGACCGCCCGTTCGCCATATCCAGGTCCGGGTTCTGCGTGATGGGCCACACCAGCCGGAACGAGCACAGCCGGTTAGCGTTCTGCACGTAATCAAGCCCGTTGGGCCTGAAGTATCGCGCCCGCTCCTCGGCCGGCCTCCCCGAAAGACCGGTGCCCGTACAGAGAGTCCTCGAGGAGCTTCAAGACCAGCTGCGTGCAGAGGAACTCCGGCATGAAAAAGTAGAGCCCCAGGCTGGCCGCGTCGAACTTGAGCGCACACTTGCCGGGGTATGGCGGGTGGCACTTCCAGGTGCCGAGACTGAAAGAGTGTAGCGAGCTGGCGCGCAGCAGCCGGGCCTGCTCGGTCCATTCGAGCCTCCAGTCTCCATCGCAAGGAGGCGGTCCGGCGGGGCGGTCCTGTCAACGAGAAGGCCGCCAGATGCCTACATGGCGAGGCCCGGGCTTTATTTCACTGACGTGGCACACGTATCCCCCGACCCGCCCACACCACCCTGTAAGACGCAAGACACGAAGACGCATTTATGGGGACGGCTCCAGGATCCTCAAGTTTCCAGATCCTTGTCC